GGAGGAAAAAGGGAGAGAGAGAAAGCGAAAGAACGAGAGGAGAAAACGCGCGCGCAAGAGAGAGCATTCACTGATTCAGCCTTCAGCCTTCAGGCCTAATGCCATGGCAGGGTGCTATAGACAGACTGCTTTAGAAAATAATATGATTTAAGGAGCGTAAACCTTGTTCAACAAACATTTGCCTTTGCAATTAAACTGTGCAACTGTAGCCTCACATTGACACAGGTATGGGCTCTAATAATAGCAAAAGCAGTTCAGGCCTTTGTACGGACGCTCGCACGGACGGACGCACGCTCATGCGATTCTACAAGCTGCATCTGACATAGCTAAAAAAACATGGCAAGCTGTGACTAAAGCAGCCGATGCCGTATCCAACTACAAACAATACTAGTTTGTACTAGAAATTTGTACAAACTAATTTCTACCCCTGTGATCGTTTAGTTTTTTTAATGTTTGCATATTCCATGAGTAATATGTACCACTTTGCATTTAACGTGCATTCTCACAATGAATCGTGTCGGCAAGTTATGCGAAAGTAGAAGTTGAAGTAGTTCGAGATGGACAAATCCAAAAAAAACATTAATGGCTTTTTTTAATTTTGCAAACTTGTGTGTAAAGTACACATTGCAGTCTCTTTCTGTACGTAAATACTAAATACTATTACTGATAAAGATCCGGTGAGTCATCTGTAATATATAATGTTAACTTCATCTTGGTATGATCTGTGTCATTTATTTCTTTAGGTACAGGAATAGCATGTGGAAGCTAGTCTGTTGATAAATTATTGAGTTTGTAATTAGTAGCAATTTGAAAATATGCAGACTCCAAAATGGATGCAAAATAGTGGAATGGTATTGCAGTTGCGTGCAATAAATAATCCTGCATCGCAATACACCCTTCTCCTGCAAGTTAGTTATCGATTGGTGGCAAACCGATTAATGCACAAACAATATTTATTCACGTGGCATCGGGGTGCAACCCCCTAACAAACAACAGTACATGTATATTGAATATCTATGGCTGGCTATATATAATAGTACATAGTACTATTATGGTTGCATCATGTCTAACAGTTAGCTTTACAGTAAGGGTTACTCTGCACTTCATCTCAATTCCATTCTTAGAATTACAATTTCACAGAGAGACTAGGGCCACTCAACGTACATAAAATCATCGAAAACTACAACTATGCCATCACATATTCTGTGGGCGACGTGAGGGAATCAAGTGTTGCACGTCGGCACAAGACGATTCAGATCACGCTGTTCAGCAATTCCTCACAGCACCATATAAAATTGTTGCGCATTCACAAGGATTAATACGTTTCATCGTAAAACAGCAATTCATCAACGCTCGATAAAAACACATCTACCACTGGTTGGTATTAACATTAAGAGTATCACTATCACAAAGATCGATAAACATCCATCAAACACACCTGTGGAAAACACAAATTACATTTCATAAATAGCATCGGACACGATATTTCACCGCAACCTGGAAAACGGCTATAACTAACACAAAACGTTTTCTCATCAGATGTAATGGTTTCTCTCGATTAATCTGTTTTGTTAGTAACTAATTCGCAGGTTCCAATAATGACACCGTCAGTCGTTCATTCTCAATGATGGTCTCTGATAAGGGTAATGATGCCTTTAAACTAATGGCATTGCTCAGCATATAGATGTCTCCCACACAGTGGAAACATTCACGCTCCAGCCAGCAGTCTACAGCATATAGATGTCTCCCACACAGGAGAAACATTCACGCTCCAGCCAGCAGTCTACAGCATATAGATGTCTCCCACACAGGAGAAACATTCATGCTCCAGCCAGCAGTCTACAGCATATAGATGGCTGTCATACACGAGAAACATTCACGCTCCAGCCAGCAGTCTACAGCATATAGATGTCTCCCACACAGGAGAAACATTCACGCTCCAGCCAGCAGTCTACAGCATATAGATGTCTCCCACACAGTAGAAACATTCATGCTCCAGCCGGCAGTCTACAGCATATAGATGTCTCCCACACAGTAGAAACATTCACGCTCCAGCCGGCAGTCTACAGCATATAGATGTCTCCCACACAGGAGAAACATTCACGCTCCAGCCAGCAGTCTACAGCATATAGATGGCTGTCATACACGAGAAACATTCACGCTCCAGCCAGCAGTCTACAGCATATAGATGTCTCCCACACAGTGGAAACATTCACGCTCCAGCCAGCAGTCTACAGCATATAGATGTCTCCCACACAGT